TATTATTATTATTATTATTATTATTATTATTCAACTTGACCCGAGAACGACAGAGAAGAGAAAGGGAAAGTGAGAAGACAAGTCGCCAGGTCCAGGCATCAAACTGTGGTCAGCCATGTGGGAATCCAGTTCCTTAAGTACCATGACACCTGTCAGTCCCCAAATTAAATAAATCTTAAAAATAAAGTTTAGCCCTATAGCCTAGTGGTTAAAGGAACTGTATCCCACATGGCCAACCACAGTTCAAATCCCAGTCCCAGCAGCTTGAAAAACATGTCATGCATGTGTATGTGTGCTCAAAATCCTGACAGAATACAGAAATGGAGGAGAAAGGATTGCAGTGTGACCACATCCCATTGTGGGTACTTCCTTTCTCTCTCTCTGGCAAACACGCAGGCCATCTGGCTATTTAAAAAAAAAAAAAAAGGCTACTGGCATTTCCCTTGCAACAGCCAAGACTCTCCATTATATGGCTGAATAAATAAGTCAATGAGGTCAAAATACACCCATTCACACCAGCAAGAGCTGGGATTAGAAGACTGACTAAGCACACTATGTGAGAAGTAGTACTCAAATCTTCAGTTTCTTATTATTTTTTCAGAGAGTTTTTTTGTTTTTGTTTTTTTTTTTGTGGTGGCTGTAGGGCACACTAGCATGCCGGTGAGAACATGAGAAATCACCCCCCAGGAGGGATGGCCATGCCATAATCCCCTCTCCTCCAGGGACTTTTGACACACATGCGGATGTGCCTGGTCTGTGTTCCAAGCCTTCAGGTCTGGGACTCAAACTGCAATAGGCCTTGTGGGAGTCCAGCACCTCAAACACTATGCCACCTGCTGGCCCGTTTTCAGTTTCTAAATAGTGAATAATTGATTCATAAAAATCAGTTTAATGAATCACCCAGTACTTTCCTATTTTTCTGTTAATAATTTGCCAGAGGGCACTCACCAAAGAGACAAAAAGGCAGAGAAAGAGAGAATGCATCCTCCAGTGGGGTGTGGTCATACTGCAAACCATTCTCCTCTTCCTCCACCCTGCTAGAATTTGGGGCATAGATGCATATGCACTCAGTATGTTCTTCAAATCACTGGGGCTGGGATTTGAACGATATGGCCAGTCACATGCGATCTGGTTGCCTTATCCACCAGGCCACGGAACTGGCCCAGCGCTTTCTTTTTTCAATATATTATCACATGAAGTAAGGATAATTTGTGGTTCCTGAAACTTTTCAGTTTTACACATATACATACACATGTACATACACATACATAAACATACTGTGTCACAGTGTGAAGGCATTCCTTACTGCTTATCATGGTCCAAGATGCAGTGTGTGCTTCCATCTACATAAAATCTCTGAAATGTTAACAATTACTAGCAGCTACTCAAATATGCCTAAAATTTGGTTGAACTGTAGTGATTAAAACTCTCTCGTGGACCAGCAGTTAGGGTAATGGCTGTGTCACTGGACTCCCGTATAGTTGACAGCAGTTTGAGTCTCGGACCCAGTAGCCTGGACTCACGCTGGGTGCATGTACATGCATGCCCAAGATCCCACGAGGAGAACAGAGAAGGGACTGCAGTGTGGCCATCCCCCTTGGGGGGTGATTTCTCGCTTTCTGTCTCTCTGGCTCTCTGTCTTTCCAGCGAGCACATGCGCCCTATAGCAAAAACCTCTCAAAATTTAAAAACTAAAACAAAAACTTTCTCGTAACACACCTCTATTTAATAATTTAAAGGAGAAACTTCTATTTGTCTTTGAAAAATAAGTTACAGGTTAAAAGTCCCCTCCACCTCCACCTTCCTTCTATAATACTCCATTCAGAACATACCTGCTCTTTTTCTTTCAGCAGCTGCTCCAAAGCAAGAGCCTTTTCCTTCATGGAATGGCACTCAAACTCTTTTTCTCGCAGCATCATAGAAAACTTTGCATTAGTCTCTTGCAATGCTTGATACTCTGTTTCCTTTTCTCTGGATGTTTCTACTATTTTTTCATTTTCCCCTTTTAGCTTACAAATGTCCATTTCTAAAATTAATATTCTCTCCTTCAGGTTTGTTACTGCCTGTCTCAAAAGTTCATTTTCACTTACTTTGTTAGTAAAATTTTCATTTGAAGAAAGTAATTGGTCACTTTTGGCTTTGATCAAGAGGTCTTTTTCCTTAAGTAACTTCTGTAAAACATCTTGTTTTTCCTTTAGCTGCCTAATTTCTGAGTCCGTTTGTTCATGTTCTTTTCTTTCTTGCTCTGAAGTGGCAGCAACTGAATCTGACAGTCTGTGGTTATTTTCTTGGAGAGTTCTAATTGTTGCCTCTTTTTCCTGTAGTGATTTTCTTAGCTGTTCTATCTCTTGTTGAAACAACTGATTAGACTCACTGAATACATCAGGTTGGCTAGCTTTAAGAGGCTCTGAAAGCAATGATCCTGAAGAGAGCTGGGGTGAAATAACATGGAGTTTTCCTAAAAGGAGATCCTTGGTGTTGCAAAGCTGCCCTATGCTGAGCTGAATTTCTGCTAATTCCTGACCAAAATTTTTGAGTTTGGTTTCATTCTGCTCATAACTTTGGATCAGGCCAGTATAGTCCACTTGTAATTTAGAATTATTATCACTGTCAACCAAAACTTGTGCCTGAAGTTGATGAAGTTCCTCCTGAAGTTGGGCTGATTCGTGTTGCATGTTTTGAACGGTGGTCATCACCTGCTGTTTCCATTCATCCATCTTCTTTACTTGCTGTTTTAATCTGTCACGTTCCTGTAGAAGCTCCTCAAACTGATTACTGTTGACACCTCCAGCCTCAGGACCAGTGCTGGATGTCTGTAAAACTGCTAATAGAGTCTGACATTTCTGACTTAAGGCATCTATTTCGATGTCTTTTTCTCGAATCATGCGTGATAAATTCTGGATAGTTTCTTTAACCATATCTTGGCCACTACTTTCAAATCTAGCAGACAATTTTTTATTTTCTTCTTGCAGCTTAACAAGGGCAGCCTCTTTGGCAGAAACTATATCTATCATTTGGTGATATTCTGTTTTCAGGTGGCTATTTTCCCTAGTCTTCTCATTCAAAACAGCTAATACTTTTTCTCTCTCCATAGCATATGCCTGCACTTGCTGCTGAAGGTAAACAACATCTTGGGTATAGGAACCTGAAGAGATTCTAGCATGCAGGGTTTGAATCTCTAAATCTTTCTGCTGGATAATCTGAGTGAGTTTACCAACCTCATCTTTAGACAACTGATCAATCTGTTTAGTTAAGGAAATATTCTTTTCATTTAGAAGTTTAATCTCTAGTTCTCGTTCTTTTATTCCTTTCACTAATCTTTCAGTTTCAGCTTTAGATAAATCATGCTTTTCACTTCCATTTTCTATATTAAGGCTCTGAACTTTTGTTTCTTGGAAAATATCAGAATTCTCTGTCTGAACATCTTGTCTTTCTTCATGCAACTGGGTCTTAATGTGTTCAATCGTTTTTTGCAAATTCTTGATTTCCTCATCTTTCTCTAAAAAGAGCTGGGTGTGTGTGACATTCATTTGTTCATGTTGGTATCTGAACTCATCCATTTCCTTCTTCTGCTCCTGTAAAGATTGAAGTAGTTGCAGCTTACTCTGGTTTTGATCTTCTATTATCTTTTGATGATGTTTAATTTCCTCTTCAAGATGATCCTTGATCGTGTTCAGCTGTGACACCTCAGATTCTAGTTCTGTAATACTATCGAGGGTTTTAGGCTCGGTCACAGGTACAGCTCGGCTCTGCTGCTCCTTGAGTCGTTCCAGTTCTTCTTTAAGATGATTGTTTTCTTCTTTCATGAATCCAAGACTTCGATCCTTTTCCTCTACAGTCTGCCTTAAAATCTCACTTTTTCTTAAGGCCTGAGAAGATTTATCTAATTCCTCTTGCAGTTCTGAACTTCTTGCTTGAAGGTTTTCAATAAAAGTTTCTTTCTCGTGTAGAAGTTGTGCCAATCGCTTCTGCTCTTCTAAACTAGATGACAAAATGTCCTTAGTTTCTTTATGACTGGTATTCATTTGCTCAACAGTCTTTCTGAGTTTTGCAATTTCAAGGTCTTTCTCTTGACTGAGTTTAATTAAATGCTCATGTTCTAGGTGTAAGGCAGAGGTGTTCAAATGACGTGTACTTGACAGTTCTTCAATGGTTTGTTCATACCTGCTTGCCTCTTCCAACAGTCTCTTTTCAGCCTGACACAGTTCTGCTTCTAACTGTTCTTTTTCCATTTTTAAAGTCTCCATAATGGTGTTTTTTTCCAGAGAAATCTGATTGTTACTAACAATAGATTTTTCCAATTGATGTCGTATATCTTCCACTGTTAAAACCAACTTTTCATTTTCCGTCTTGAGATCAAAAGCAACCTTCTTTAAATTTTCATTAAGTTGTTCTATTTCTGAAAGATTTTGCTTTAAGTTTCTAACTTCAGTTTCCTTTTCTTTAAGTAAGTCATCCTCAAAATTACTGCTGGAGTCTTGAGGAGATTGACTTAGTTCATTCTTGACTCTAGAAAGCTCCTCCTCACTTTGTCTAAGGTGTTCCTTAAGTTCAAGGTTCTCTTTCTGGATGCTTTCATTATTGTTTTGTGATTTATTTAGTTGATCAACTAAATCTTCTACCTTATTCTCGAGTTTCTGCTTGGTTAAATGCAAATCATTTAGGATAAGTTCACTTTGACTTAACTGTTCTTTCTGCACGACTAAATCTTTAATGATGTTCATTTTATCATCTTCAAGTTGATGCACTCTCTTCTTTTCATCATCAAGATCTTGCTGCAGCTTACTGATGACGCTATCTCCTTCATTTTGTTGTTTGGACAGCCGCTCTTTTATCAGAATCATGTGCTGAAAGAAAATAATGATAAAAATTTGCATGGTACTTTAAAATATTTTCTCATTTTAGTGTCTAAAGAAAATTTTATAAATTATAATTTCAGGCAAGATTGAAGAATAATCCTTAAATATTTCTAATCCCTTTTTAAAATGACTTTTTCCCCAACAACATCCCCACAAAATTATTTACCAATATCTTATGAAAATCCACCTTATCATTTTAATTGAGTTTAAAACCAAAGAAGATAAATGACATGTTGCTTTTTTTCAACCCTTAGACACTAGAATGGAAGTGGACAAACTATAATTCATGGGCCAAATCAGGTTTGCTACCTATTTTTGTAAGCAAAACTTTATTGAAATATAGTCATGCTCATTCATTTCTATATCACAGCCACAGAGCTGAGTAGTTGCAATTGAGATTATGTAGTCTGCAAAGCCAAAATTATTTACTATCTAGCACTTTATAGAAAAAGTTTATCAATCTCTATGACTAGAGCATTAGTGATCTAAATTACTGAATTACAAAGTGGAACACATCATTTTTGTATGTTAGCCCAGTGCTCAGTCTACTGAATAGATAGAATGTGCTACCTCACTGTCTTTTATATAGTGTTACCTTGGTAGCTTCTTGGTTCTGTTTGTCCAATTCTTCTAACTCAGCTCTCAATACTTCCTTTTCATTAATACTCTGATTGAGTTCTTGTTCTTTTGCCTGTAGATTAAGTCTTAAGTCATGTAATTCTGAATCCAAATTTATGTCTCTCATGGCTGTACTTTTAAGTACTTCATATTCGCTGTTCAATTTTACAAGAGATACCTGAAATTCTTCCTTAAATGATAAAAGGAGGGAAAAACAAAATGTGCACCGTCAATTAAAGGACAGATAACGAAAAATTAAAAACATATAAAGAAAACATGGTAATCTATTTTCTTTCCTTTTTGCTAGAGAGTGTGGAGTATTCACGGGGCGGGGGGGGAAGCATTCCTCTTGGACAATGGCTGCTATGCTATCCCTTCTCCTCCATCTCTCCCTCCTTTCCAGATTTTGGGCATGCCTAGTGTGTTTCTCAAGTCACCCAGTCCAGGACCTGAACTGTATAGTTAGCCACGTGGGAGCCAGCTGCCTTAACTACCAGGAAACAGGGCCAGCCTGGTCATCTATTTTGACCTATTTTAACCTCTATACTAGAAACACTATTGAACAATATCTCAGTGATGATAAATACAATTACCATATCACAGGGACCAGCAGATAGTATAACAGTTACGTAGCTGGACTCCCACGTAGTCAACTGTAGTTCAAGTCCCAGACCTAATGACTTAAAACTCATGCTGGGCCTGTGTGCATGTGTGCCCAAAATCCCAAGAGGAGAAGGGACTGTGATGTGGCCATCTCCCTGGGGGATGATTTCTCACTTTCTGTCTCTCTGTCTCTCCAGTGAGTACACATGCCCTATAGCAAAAATATCTCCTAAAAAAAAATTACCATACCAGCTTTCATTCATATTCATAATTTTGCAGTTTCAAGTAAAATATTTCTCTAACCCTAAACAAGTTGCTATTATACAATTCTTTTTTTTTTTTTTAGACCACAGATTAGTTTATTTTTAACACCCATCATGCCATGAATTCATAGGGAATAGGTTCCAGTAGCTCAGGCTCTTTTCCATTGGTTCTCACAAAGTGTGCTTCTCTGAGTGGAGCAGGCTGGCGCTTTAGTTGAACCCAGGTACCTTTCTCTTTGGCTTCTTTCTTTTTCTGGTCATTTTCCTTCACACATTTTAGGAAGCTATCTCTGC